TAAGAGAACTCACGGCGTACCGCCGCTACGGAAATAATTGATTTTCGGCAGTACGAGAAATAAAGCTGGTATGATGAGGAATGTCGAACTGAAGTGGGGAGAAAACAGACTGCCTAGCTCGCAACCCTGCGATCGACCACAACAGGTGCGGGGTGGGATAGATATCGAGTGCTGATTTTGAAACAAGATCACCAATTCCATGTTTAATGTGCCCACAAAGTTAGTCGATGTGTATTGATGATGATGGCATCAAAGTAAGTTTTTTCAAGAAACTGTGGTTCTAGGTATTGCTAAATGTTTTGTAGAAAAAATAAAGGAAGCATTTTTATGACTTAAGTTGCCCGTTGTAATGTTTTTTGCATTGTGCACTGTGTGTGGCTTAGAACCAACTTTAATTGTCTTTGTTAAGTATTACGACAACTAAAATCAGACAATCAGGGAATTTTCAAATATATTTTCCATAAGAATCTGATATTACTTTGATCTCAACTGATCATATACTCGTACTATATATACATACCAATTGTCTAACGTGGAACATAATGAAAGAAAATCTCTCCTAGTCTTAGCCAATAAGTATTTTTAACACCAACTTAATATGCGGAAGTTTGTTTGCTAATGTCGTAATTGCTTTTTACTCGAAATTAAAATTTTTTTTAGCAAAAAAAAATCCCTTGGCACTGCTTGTACTTAAAATAACATTAAATTTTCATTATGATTATCGAAATTGTCAGTGGTTACTGATGTTTCAGTTATTCAATGCCAGACTTCGTACAAAAACGGCTAAGTGAGGTTATTTATATACATATGTATATATTTAATTGGCGTTTTGTAACCGCTGAATCGATTTTAGGTCGAGCTCCTCGTCCAATTTGTGGTTTTGACACTTGAGGTTTTTCCAACCAAATGAAGGGACCTACAGTTTATACTAGGCTGCCTCCGAACGGCTGATGTGTTTTTTACGAGGAGCCTTATTTCATGTCAGAAATACACTCGAAGGGGTCCCTGCCGAGGAGTGACCGCAATTAAAAAAATTAACTTACGTTATTACCTTATTCTCAAATGTTTCTAAACATGCTTAAATTAAAGTTTTTTTTACATAAATACAAATAGAAATAAGCAATATTTAGTTTTAGTTGCTTTTATCTTAGTTTACAGCAACGAACTTTATGTCCATTCGGCCATACTTCAATAGAAGGTGACAAAAAACTCACAAGTAACTCAAATATATATATATTTTATATTGTAGAAATATTATGATTTTGTGGTCAGGAAGTTAACACAGAGAACTACATGCAATGAATTTTATACCACGAATTCTGAGTTACTAACAGCGCAGTAGTTGGTGACCATAGTGTGCCCGAATTGCTATCTACCGGCAGATTTGCACATCCAATATAGCCATGTACATTTTCATGCAAAAACATATAATATACTAAGTTTATTTCGCATTCCCAGAGAGTTCAACTCTTGTAAAGGGTTTGAAATGTCATGGCAAATATGAAGAGAGTTACTCAAAACTCTCTTGGCACGTTTACTTAATTGGTTCAAATATACATTTTTCAATTATTATTAATAAAACCAAAAAACCCACAAAAATTTTAGTATCAACAAGACTAGAATGACATTCAGCTCCAGAAACGAAGTACATTGCCATTTGATTGACACGCAACTTTCCAATAATATCGAGTTCGCTTCTGGAACGAGAAATAGTTTATTTTTTAATTGCTGGATTTGTAAAATTGCTTTTTTACAGTACGTATCTATTGGCATCCCAAGTCTGATTATCAAATCGAAATCATTGCTTTCTGATTATTTTACATTGGGATCTTTCTTGAAAGTTTATTACTTCAAATATTTTGAATTGTAAGCAGTTTGTAACGCTTTTGATATAATATAAATCTAAACCAAAGCAGTCAGAGTTCACAATCCACAAAATCCTTTTTCAAAGAGTTTTTGAACAAGATATTACCTCTCCAAACAGTTTTAATACCTCACAAGGTTCTAAGTGTCTAGAAAGAAAAATTTAAGAAATTATGAAAAGAGAAACAAATTTAAGATAGAATATAATCGGGGACCGACTGGCCCACATGATTGGTTATCTGATGCGGGCTTTTTGTAATACGAGGTGTGACAATTAAGCAATGAGACTAATTATATTGCAGCGATTGTGGTAACCCTGGAACCTTGAATTTTCCTTGTGTCGTGTTGAGTAAACATGTGTTCGTGCTGGTAGCACAAAAAGAAAAACACGAAATCAAGAGCAACGCGTCGCGATAAAGTTTTGCACCAAATTGGGCGAAATCAAGTCTACTATCGTTAACCGGCTTATTCGCCCGATATATCACCTTGTGACACTTTTTTGTTCTCTTGAACAAAAGGAGCCCATTGAGAGTCGATTGAGGACATTTAGGCGGCCTTGACGAGGGTACTCGTGGACATCCCAGTCGAAGCGTTCCAGAATTGTTACGAAGCATGGAAAGCACGCTGGAATCGTTATATAGGGGACTACTTTGAAGGGTATAATAGAGTTGTAGAATAATTTTGAAATATATACAATAGTTTTTAAGGAATAAGTTTCATTACTCAATTGTCACACGTAATATATCACGAAGATGATTTAAGCTTAAGATCATAGTTAGATTCAATTCAGAACGAAATATAAAAGCTAAGAGAAGTAACCTAAATAGAATTTATAAAATAAGTTTTTGGAAAAAATACATACGTATGTATGTACAAAAATATTGCATGTACCATTTCCAGGGTTAACAAAAAAATATAGTCTTATAGTCTTATAGTAAAATGTTTAAGTTATGACATAACGTTGAGCAATAATAACGAAAGAAGTGAGATGTTTTTATTTAAGAGTTGAAAATCTTTAATATTTTACGATATGTTGGAATACTAGATCTCGATATATTATGTTTAGCGGCTAAACGATGAAATCTTTATAAACGAACCAATTTGCTGCAAAAACAAATAAATTATTAAAATTATACTCTGCCTTCTTACAGAGTTTCTTTAACGTATCCTTAAAACTGAAATACTCTTTCTTCTTTATTGGCGTTGGAACCGCTTACGCGATTATCGCCGAATTAATTATAGCGCTCCATTCATCTCTTCTTTTCGTTGTTTGGCGCCAGTTGGAAGCACCAACTGAAGCCAGGTCGCTCTTCACCTAATCCTTCCAACGGAGTGAAGATCTTTCTCTTCCTCTGCTTCCACTATAGGGTAATGCATCGAATACTTTAAAAGCTGGAGTGCTTTCAACCATTCGGACGACATGACCTAGCCAGCGAAGCCACTGTCCTTTCATTCGCTGAACTATGTCAATTTCATCATATAGCTCGTACATCTCATCGTTCCATCGTCTGCGGTATTCAAAAAAATTTTCTCTCGAAGACTCATCAGATAGTGATATCGTCCACGCCTCTGCGCCTTATAGTAGGACGGGTATGATGAACGACTTGTAGAGTTTGGTTTTCGTTCCCCGAGAGAGGACTTTACTTTTCAATCGCCTGTTCAGTTCAAAGTAGCATCTGTTGACAAGTGTGATTCTGCGTTGGATTTCCAGGCGGATATTGTTGTTGGTGTTGATGCTGGTTCCTTGAAAAACGAAATTATCTACTGCTTCAAAATGACTTCGACGGCATAAAAGCACCTCTTTCTCGTGCTATCGAAGACTGCTTTCAAATCGACGAAGTGGTGGTGTTAGTCAATTCTCTTTTCACGTCTTTTCCAAGATTTATCGTATCGTGAATATCTGGTTGACTTATCAGGCCTGACGGCACAAACTGAAATACTATTTTGGCTTTTCTGATTCTTTTATAATGTGTTAACTTAAAAATATTAAAAGACAAGAAAATACGACACACGATACTATAAAGTCGACTGCGAAGAGAGAATGAACCTACGTTTAAATTATTGTATCAGGGATCATTGTGCATTTTTAAACCTTTATAGAGCAAGTCTTGATTTTAAAATTTTGCTTACTATTTTTTTTAAATTAAATGGTAGCTTAAAATTATGTCTGTTTCTCGTTTTTTGTGGCTAAAAATCAATTTTATATATTAATCAATCAATTAAAATATTCCAATAGGAATTCAATTTGAATTTTATAATATTGTATTATACATAAACTTCATAGTAAGGAAGAAAAACGTTTTCATACCACTTTTTAAATATGAGTCTCATAGTTCTATTTGCATTTTTGGAAGTTTATCTATTTGCGTATGACGTTATAAACAAAATAATGGAATAATACAAAAGTATGGCTCTATAATTGATTTGTATACTTTGATTTTATATTTTCTACTGCTGAATGCCAATCATCAATTTGTTTGTTCACAACGATATGTACATACATACTCGCAGATATGTATATAAGTATGGTTTCATCATAATTGAACAAGAGAATATCTTCGGCCAATAGTTGGATATTTATGTAAATAAAGAAACGTAGCTTGACCTATACTGGACCTAACAGACGTCCTCTTTTGACGGATACATCTTCTGATACTATTTCGCAAATTGTTATACGCCGTTTTATATATATTAGTTAGCGAACTCTCAAAAAAACTTAGCTCAACATTAACTTACTAATCGGCCTCTATCGATCTATTGTTTCAAAACAAGATCAAAGGCTAATAGATGTATAGGAAAAATCATAATCATATCGTACATAAATAAGAGGTATATCACTCTCAAAACAATTTTCTAATGGAAGCAAAAAGAACGGCAATTCCGTAAATTGAAAATTCCAAATTTCTTTATAGTACGCAAGTAAATAGGAAAGATACCTAAGAAGAAGCTAAAAACCTTTGATAACAGTCTGTGCAATTGTGTTCACATTCTAAGACCTTTACAACTAGACTCAAAATATATACATTCTTATATATTTCTTTACACATATACACGTGTATGTACAGATACTTAATTGTAAGTTCATATCTGTACATCGTAAAACTTAACGGCTCATACTCATCTTATTTAAAATATTTAAAGCATTCCTGTTCCGTCAGTAAACGCGAGTGGTTGGTCTTCGAAAAAGATTGATTCGAATGCATTTCAATAAAGGCAATATATACATAAATGTAGTAAATATATTGAATGTGAAGATTTCAAACCAATTAATATTAAGTTCGAAACAATAAGTTTTTATTAATTCTAATTTGTATCAATTAATGTACTTGGAAGCGTAGCCCCATTTCGTGTTTATATAGTGATTTTTGTGAAACACAAATTTGTACTTACTCTCCACAAAATGGAAAATAATTCAAAAAGTGATAATCAAAGAGGTAAAAGTTCTTATATTAGTGAAAAGCTAAATTTAATTATCTTTAACCCAACAAGTGAATATGATTCTGCTTTGAAAGAAATAAAATCGCAAATATGAAAAGGCTTTACCGAGTGATTTACGATATTTTTCTTATAATCACTTAAATCTTAAATGCGAACGATAATATGTATATCTCCTATCGCGATACGAACTACATACATGATTTTATAAAAACAAAATACGGATTTACGTAGAATAAAATAGTTTTAGTTTTAGCAAAAATAATTATCATCGAAGTACAGTCCTTGAAATGATTGAAAGAGTTTCAGCAGAAGGTCACGGTTTATTTTCTATTCACATCAAAGGGAACGTTGGATTTTGCATAAATACGATTTTATATAATTCAAATATTGCATTGCTTGAGATGTGAACGTGAATTTAATCAGTTTTCCATAGATCGTGTGTTAAGTTTATTATTCAATAGATTCGATAAACCCATATCTTTAATCCATAAATTTTGGTGGAAAAAAATTGTGAAATCGTCTAAAAAATTATGTATATTAGGTGTATGAATTTATGCACAAATATAACTATAAATTAATTTTTTAATCGAAATACATACGTATACCCTTTTACAATTATATTTCCTAACTCTTTTAAGCAGATGATCCGGCCGATTTTGAGAAAGCCATGGAATCAACCGGTTTCGGGAGATTCAATTTAACTTTGCTTGTAGTTGGAATATTTGCAAGCTGTGCTTCTGTTTTCGAAACTACAACAATGTCATATATTCTTCCGATAGCGGAATGCGACCTTGAAATGACTCTATTCGATAAAGGCGTATTAAATGCAGCCACATATGCGGGTATGATAACGTCAGCAATTATTTGGGGTTATCTCGCGGACACAATTGGCAGGAAAAAAGTTCTGGTTTATGGTTATTTGGCCGATGCCGTTTGTGTTCTTTGCAGCTCCATAACACAGAATTTTCAAATGCTTGTGGCATTCAAATTTCTTGGTGGTTTTATGTAAGTTCGCACATTTAAAGTTTTTCCCATTTATAATGTTTTTCTTTACAGCGTGAATGGACCCGGCGCAGTACTCTTTACATATTTGACTGAAATGCACAGCTCGAAGCACCGCCCACGTGTCCTTATGATTTTAGGAATGATTATGTCAGTAGCAACTCTAATTTTACCATTATTATCATGGGCGATATTCCCCAGGGATTGGGATTTTATATTATTTGACACCATTCGAGGTATTTTATAAGGTTTTCAAATTTTAAAATAACTCTGATCAAACTCTTTTCAGTGCACTGTTGGCAGATATTTTTGGCTGTATGTAGTTTGCCGAGTTTGATTGGTGGGTTAGGATTAATTACTTTGCCGGAAAGTCCAAAGTTTCTTATGTCCCAAGGAAGGAATGCTGAAGCTCTACATGCCTTCCAGAAAATTTATTCTGCAAATACGAGAAAGCCCATGAACTCCTATCCTGTAGGCTTATGAAGTTTTTATGAAATTTTTTGCGCATTACCAAGTTGTAAATATATATTAGTTTGCTAATTTATTTAATTGTATTATAGATCAAGGAGCTAGTTGAAGAAGTACCAAATCGTAGTTCGAACGTAAATGAGGTAGTTTTTACTGTGGAAAATAAACCGGTTAAGCCGAAGTTTAAACGTGAACCCAGAACATGTTCTCAAGCATTCAACGAAGGTTTGCAACAGACCAAGCCCATGTTCAAGATGCCATTATTAGGACACTCGATTCACGCATACGCAATGCAGTTTTGCATTTTACTTGGGTAAGTATTTGTCTTCTTGCTGTTACTAAAACCTAATTTTTGTTTCGTATAGTTTAAATACGATTAGACTTTGGCTGCCTCAGCTGTTTGCATCAATTGCTGAATATGAAGCCCTTGACAGTTCTAATTCCAATTCAGCTAACCTCTGCACAATTCTCGAGTACAGCGTAAACAAAACTTCGGTGGCAACCAATATTTTAGAAAAGTGTGATCAGGTAAATTAATATATACGTACATAAGTTTATTTTTACAAAATACTGAGAATGCATTTATAAGCATAATTTTAAAAAACAAAAAAAAAATAAGCAAGTGATTGAAGTCTTCAAATCATATGAAATTTTATTAAATAATTTTTTCAAAACATTATGAACTCATTATCTGAAAATGAATTTGTTTGACAGAGACAGTAATTTAATTAACAGTTATATAACATATAATAGAACTTAACACCACCATCGGTTGCGGAGAGGCAACTTGAAGAGGGAGAGAGAGAGAGAGGTTTCAGAAGTACTTAAAAGTATAAAATGGTTTATATACGCTTCCTAATTCCATATAGTTTTAAAGTAGAGTTTATTTCGAATTGAATTTTATTTTTGAAGTCCAATTTACAATGCGTGTGAGTTAATAAAGGTATACGAGAGAACGTACTTAATTTAATTTCACTATGAAGAGCATAAAAGTGCTTTATATGCAAATGATTGGGAAAGGATAACAATTAGTTAAGCAAAATCAGGCATTACACTTTCTTAAACATTAACAGTGCTTTTATACGCGCCCTTATATACACACTTAAATTTTTGTATGAAAAATAAAGAACACCGTGGTATAGCTGAGCATAAGAACAACATTGGGATGAGAAATCCAACGCATAAAATCGAATAAAATCACTTTAATTGGTCTCCAAGACGGAAGTTCTTCAATCATTCTTTTTATAGTTTCCAATAAATGCATACTACTAAGAGTGTGTATTTTCATTTATTTTAAATTCTTTAAACCGATTACATGTTTAACATCTATATACCGAAGTACATAGGTTGTTTACGAATAATTTACAGCGACCGCAAGTGTCTATGGAACTGTACACAAATAATATAATAGTTTCGGCAACTGGTTTGGTGGCTTACAGCTTCGCGGGAATCGTAGTTCGAGTTTTGGGAGCAAAACGTCTGCTCAGTAAGTTAGAAGCATAAATATTTATTTAAGATTTTTAATAGCAAAAGTATGTAATATTTTCGTTATTCAAGCATACGGATTGTTAATTTCCGGGGTTCTCGGCATATCACTATATTGGTCGGTAAATGGTCTCACCACTCTGATAATATCATCTGCTTTTCTAGCAATAGCCAGCGTGTCAACGTCATCTCTATTAGGAGTCGTAATTAATGTTTTTCCAACTTCTTTACGGCAAGTATATATTTGCCTCTTTCTTACAGATCATAATCTGACTTTTAATAGATTAAGAATTAATTGGAAATTATTTACCTCTTTTTCCTATATACAGATCGCTAGTTGTTGCTATAGCAATGATGTTTGGTCGCTTGGGTGCTTTATCTGGAAATATGTTATTTCCGATTTTTATGGAAATGGGTTGCATACAACCTTTCCTTATGGTCGGCATTGTATTGCTGGGTAAGTTAAATATATATACATATGTATATTTATATACATATCTAATTATTAAGTATATATGATAATCAGATACATATTTATATCAGCCGGTCATTCATAGGATAAATCTTTTTCCAAATTATAAGGAATTTTATTTGGTTAACATCTGGTCACGGGTCTCGCAAATGTTTTAATAATCACATTTGAGGGCGGATGTCCGGTCACTTAATTGAGAATATGCCCTTGATTACCGACTTTAACGACAGAGTGGGAAAAGAGAATATTTTTGGCGCAACAGACTGTTAATTCAGCGTTCACGACAAAACATTCACAAACGGCCTGGGGACGATCGACTTCGTCGGGTTCTGAAATATGATTGACTATTGTACTAGCTTTCTGCAAAAGTCGATCACGTTCCAAGGACGAGTGGAGGGAAAGAATATTTTCTGTGGGGTAGATACCGAGGGGTGAAGAGCGAAGCAAGTCCAAAGAAAGGCGGAAATGCGTGAATATGAGAGTATAAAAAAACTGACCGACAAGAGAAGCGATCGAAAATTCTATGAAAAGATGCATCGACTATCAGAAGGTTTCAAGAACGGAGCGTACCCATGTTGGAACCGACTTGAAAATCTGTTGATCAATGTCCAGAGTGAGAGTCAAAACGCAAAGCCCGATTTGAGTCTCAGTGTGCTCTTGCCACTTACCGTGGTATTAGCCTCTTAAATATCACATATAAGCTGCTATCGAATGGTATGAAAGACTAAAGCTCACTGTCTGGTCCGGTAGCTTTAGATCTGGTAAACCTACTATTGACCAGATATACGCCAAATCTTAAAAAAATACACGTGATAGAAGAACCGATACACATCACATATCTTCGATTTTAAAACAGTCTCCGACAGCGCAGTAAGGAGTTAACACTACGCCGCTATGTTTGTCGCAAGAAAGCACCTAAGCGCTATCATAATTGCGTATGCCGATGACGTTGATATCATAACTTTACAACCTGGCGAATGGGTCTGGAAGTGGATGAAGAAGTCAAAACTTCGAAGCCGTAGATAATTTCGTCTATCTAGGAACCAGTATCAACACCAAAAACAATGCCAGCCTTAAAATCCAACGCAGAATCACACTTGTCAACAGATGCTACTTTGAACTGAGGCAATTAAAACGTAAAGTCCTCTCTCGGGGAATGAAAACCAAACTCTACAAGTCGTTCATCATACCCCTACTATATGGCGCAGAAGCATGGACGATGTCGATATCCGATTAGTCAACCCTGGGAGTCTTCGCAAGAAAAGTTTTTCGAACGATTTATGATCCTTTGCGCATTGGCTAAACTGCAGACAATGGAACTATGAGCTGTACGAGTTACAGTTGGTTAACAGAACAAAAACTATTTTTTCCCCAAAAATTCTTGAAATTTTGTGTGAAAAATTTGATTCCAAGAAAGAAGCTGACTTCAGGAAGACCCATCACCAAATCTGTGCTACACACCTTTCATGTTTCATGTTCACCTCATCACTTCTCGTTTATATACAATATGTCATATAGATAGTAACAAATTTTTAAAAGTTAGTTATATTAAAAATTGTTAGATCATGCTTGAATCTATTGCTACTCGTATTATAATAAATATATATGTATGTGTTTCTTTTGTTTATTCCTCAGTTGCGAGCGCTTTGTCCTGCATTTTGCCAAACCCCAAGAAAATCATCATGAAATAATCCTGATATACTAATTATGGAAAATAAATTTCCCATAATGTAGAGAATTATTTCTACTAATAGGCTTATTAAAGTTATTTATTTCAATCATTTTTAACAACTTTCTACAGTTTATTTTAGGCTAAATTAAAAAATAAGTAAATAAATATGTATATGTACTTACCCAGTTGAAAAAAGTCTTGTGGAATCGAGAAGTACCTATGAAGTACGTGTAGGTATGGCGGTTTTTGGAATAGTTTCGTAATTAACATCTATTTATAAACGTGTAATTGAATTTTTATGATATGTATTTATATTTTATATTTTAATTAACCTGTAGAGTACGTTATTTTTATTTAATAATTCGTGTACAAAATTATAATAACAAATGTATAACGGTAAACAAGTTAAAAAACTCAATAAATAAAATTCACATTTTAATATACTTTTTTTGAGTGATTCTTGACCCTGAACCTCAAATCGAATGTGTGGTGACCATATGGTATAGTGGTCGGATCTGGCCGGCTTCGACTAATGATTGATATAGTATAAAAATAAATCTATTTACCAAGTTTACTTGAAATATCTCAAAAGCTTAGTGAGCTAAACTTTCCTCGTTCTGGTACTCACATACTTCGGACCATACCATTTCATGTTCTTGAAAAGGATAAAAACCAAAAGTAAATATTTGTGAAGATCAACTTGCACAGGTTTAAGGTGGAAAATGGCAAAAAAATAAACTCAACCCCAGCCTACGCGCTGCATAGAAAATATATAACAATACAACAATAAATTCGTATTCACAAATCAGAAGTCAGAAGTCGTTAGCAGTGCCACGCATTGGTGATGCAGTTCCTCAGTTCCGAACGAACGCCTTTGATGTTTAAAGAGGTCAAAATGTTATTAATATCTAAATGCAGTTGTACCTCGCAAGGATTTGTTGAATATTTTTATATTATTCTGCAAGGTGACAGGCGTCCATTCCAGACAACTTGTAGTGCAATTCTGTAACTTTTTCGACACGATCTGTCGGATCGCAAAGTTGCGAATTTTGTAGCTTGCCTCGTAAGAGGCGACTAAAATCCAATGGTTCCCGCGACAGTCGGGTCTTTATACCGAAACGACCCGGATTTTTATCCGGCCAAGGACTGTCACTCCCGCAATATTCCCCAAAAAGTACTTTGGGGATTAATTTGATGAGGAGCCACTCACCGAATTGCAGAGACTAGTCATTGCCCACGAAAACGTTCCTGAGACTATGCCTGTAGATGAGGTAATGAAAAATAAACAAATTGTCTCCTCACTATTAGGGACTGCAACTGCGATTAGAGGAGGGTGAAGAAAGTCTAATTGTCGAGATGACTTCATTTTCAAATGGGGTCGTTTTGGAGATGTATGCATGCATCGACTCTTGCGACTCGAGCGACAAGAACTCCACTCCAGTCAGAGAAGACGTATGGAGAATGGAGCGATACGAGAAACGCATTTTAAGAAATCGCGCAAACACGAGCGAATGCCTTAAAAGTAAGTATTTCTGGATTTGCAAACACAGCTAGAATATGTTTTCATTATCTTGTCGTTTCGTTTTTCCAAAAGATGCTAGCAGAGTGGAGTGCAGCCTCCAACCATATTGCAAGCAGGCAAGCTAATGCCTTGCAGGTAATTTTCTTAAACGCTATAGAGTCGCATTACAAATATTTGTATAATTTTTTTTTTTGATAACTGTTAGCAGACGATCGCGCAGGCATTGGCAGATGCTATGAGCGCAATGGGTGAAGGATTACAAACTTGTGCAGCAGCCGGCGCAATTAGCCGTATGTAAATATGGATGTAAATATAATATGGCGTTTGAAGTTATTTTTTTTTATATTAGTGTTAAGTTAAACATAGAACAAGAACTTCTTTTTTTATTTATATTATTAATTTAAGTTTTAATTTGAAAAAATTAAGTTTTGGAGAGTATTTTTTATACTTGAGTTTTTTTCTGACTTCATATTAGATCTACTATGATCAATTTCTCATTACATATATTAAAGAAGTAATGCAGTTATGAACATAGATAAGTATTAGTTTTGAGATTCTCCTTTAAGAAACTTGAATGTGATTTGTGGTATTTAAATCCATACAAAAAGACTTATCTGTGATTATATACTGAGATCTGTGATGAATTATGCATTTAAATTACTTTATATGTTGTCTGTATTTTGCTGAGTTAGCTCAACTTATGTACAAATGTTGAAAATAATAAAACTGAAGAATTTGTTGCCTTTTTTTTTTAGTTTATAAAAAATTTAATAAAATTACAAATAATGTAAATTATATTTCGGAGTTTTTATTTATCAAATCGATATTTAAGAGAAATGATTTGCGATCAGGCGATCTTGGACGCGTTTTTCTGTTGAGCATGGTGCCTCATGGTGCCTCATGGTTGACATTGAAGGTATTTGTTCTACTTTCTAGGAACTCTTGCTCAAGCTCATATACATATTTGGTCATCTAATCGAAGGTTATGTAATACTGAGCACCCATTAACTATTCTACCAGAGAATCCATCATCGTACAAAAGTTCCTTTGATAACACCAAAAAGTCGCTAGACTGGGTTTCGTGCTTTACACAATGCCTGATTGTAGCGGAATTTAAGACTTCCTTGTGGTTGGTTTGGAAGAGCAGTCATTAAACACTGCTCTAACGGATATCCAGAGTCACCTGAAAATTTTATTGTTTTCAGACTTATTTTTAATAAAGGGTTTTAATGATTTTGAAAAGCATGTTGTGGTTCCCACTTAAATAACTACGCTGCATTACTCTTCGCACTGTAAAGGAGCTCCAAATAAAAAAATCGTGCCGCGCTCCTGGGTACTTAGCATTGACCACCAAAATCTTGAGGTAAGGATCACATATCTATGTGAAAATATAATGAACTTTGTTACTACAATAGTAATCAGACACAAATTTACTCCTACCATTTACACATTGATGAAATGGTTTCCATGGTGGTTTACATACGCTCCTTCATGATTTTCGGGACTCATGATTGACACATGTCTGCAATCGATAGCTCCAATAGTGCCTCCAACAAATGGAGACGATGCCGAAGAAAAAATTTCATTTGCAGCTTGCCGCTCTTTTTTCGTCATTGGAAATTTAACCCCCGCAGAAAACATCGAACGGATGATTGCGTCTGTTACGCGATGAATACAACGGTTTACTGACGACTGACTCATGGATATCCCCCATTACCTTGCCGTTGATATCATCAAGTTACAAAAAATCGCAAAGCCGTTAAGAACCTTTGAACATTTTAATAGTTTTAAGGCTTAAAAAATTATTTACAAGTTAAATTATTGCCTGTTTCTCAGTAGACTTCCTTTTAGTTGACCATCTAGTTGAGAAACGATTTCTTCAACTAAATCCGGCGTTAATCTATATAACTTCCGAAACTCGGTAGCATTCAAGTGAAAGGATCTTCCACTTCCCGAGCTGACTTCTATCCAAAGATGAGTGGGAGGATACCTCTTTATTTTGTGGCAAATCGTATGCCAAATATTCAAAAGCCATTTTTTTATTTTTGTACTTTTATTTTTATATAAATTAGGCAATTTTCCGGACACTTTGCTCTCTTAAATGATATGTCGATATCGTTAGCAACATAAAAATATTCGTCGCTTAGTTAGCGATTTGTCGAGTAGTTTACGACAACAGCGAGAGCGAATATCGTTGAAATGAGTGTACCGATTAATAAAATAATTAGAATTATCGCCAAGTCTTCTTTATACCGTTATACTATACTTAGAGAATAGCGAAATCGTTAAAACTATCGTTAAGTCATTTTAACGATCCGAAGATCATTATAATACGATAGAGAATTCCCCTACTGAAGAGAAAAATAAACAAAACAACTTGCTTATGAATAATGGTTTAAACTGTCGTTATAATCGGATGGGGACATTCAAATAAGAAATGAGAAATGAGCTGCAAGTCAGTCCAGTAAGGTCCAATGAAGTTTTACTAAAAATATCATCCCTAGCATTTCTTTACGGCTAGAAAGTGTGGGTAGATCTGTAAGTTAACGACTGGTATACAGTGGAATATATTGGCGAAAATCCTAATGTAAATGACACAATGATGCCACCTTAATAATGCCTCACCACAGCTTACCATCCTAAGTCCAAGAGTTTGCACCCAATATTAAAACAGCTTCACTTTCATCATCGAAAGGAGATACAGCTACAGAGAAAGATTAAGTTCTGACAATCTGCTTTTGATCGCGACCATGGAATTACATTTAATAATAAAATTCTGTGTGAATATGTTAGAATATGTTTTTTAAGTTTTTAAATTATTTGTATTCGGGAGCAACGTACTATCAGATCAAAATGTGTTTCATCTAATATAAGAAATACTTATCCGAGGGAGACTTTCCGATGGGGAATTGAAAAAAGATTGACAGCTGAAAATGGGCTTTCAATGAGCTGCAATAGAACTGTGCCCTTATGCACCAATATTCCGAAACAAAATCTCATATATACATATAGAATGGGACACAATATTCGAACTCCTATAAAACAATATCAAAAACATTGCTGAATGATAGTGTGGAAACTAATTTATTAATTTATTTACATTTAACTCACACAGCACTTGTCATTTTGTAATTATTAATTATTATTACGTTTATATGACATTTGACTATTTACATATAAATTTTTGTAATCATGTTATTGGATTGTTTTGTCAAAAGACTTAATATATATGTATGTAGACTTTGATATTTTACGAGTAAATTAATTACTTAATTTAAATTTTTTTACAAAGCTTATTCAGTAAAATACTTTTCGTATTTGCATGGATTTCACTGTGTAATTACAATCCTAGTCCTTCTTTCGTACATTTCTCTTTCATTTTTTCTTCGTGTTTATTGTCACCGTCACAGGAAATACATTTAATTAAAATTCGATGCTGATCGCCACCATCATTGGTGGAAATGTAAACTGGGGAACTTAATTTATCTTTGGCATTCTCTTGCGAGTTGTTGGTAGCAACTTTATTCGGAGTTCTCTCCACAGTAATTCGCTCACGTAGTGATGTTTGTGCAACTTGTATTTGTGTCTCCATTGTACTGCGTTTCCAAATATTTTTGCCTTCCACTAATTTGCAGATGTGTAATGTAAAAAATACAAAATGGTAATTTACAAATTATTTAAATGAAATACGTAAAAGAAGGCTAAGTTCGGCTTGACCCGAGCAACATTAACCCGGCTGCATTGGTTGCAACACGGTAATTGTGTATAAAACAGTTTTCTTGGGTAAAACTAAAATTATTGATGAGTTCAGGTCACAAAATTGAGTATACACATACATTTTAAATGTGGTATCTCTGGATATCTGTGATTATGTTAGCACTGAACTACATTTCAGAGATTTTGTTGCGTGTTAGCCTTAGATACGTAATTTATTGTTTTTGGTGCATTTCTTTCACCATGGCTGGTACCAGAAAGGGGACAACTATTGAAATAAGAGAATTAGTGATAAAATTGACCTGTGAAAGTAAATCGTACAGACAAATTGCTGAAATTATTGGCAGACCTCATTGCAAAGTTCAAAAAATTATAAATGAATGGGGATATGGAGGTACGTTACTAAATTGCGGTGGGAGAGGCCGCAAACAAATTTTGACTGATGTTGATGAACGCAATATTGTACGTAAAGTCAAATAGTGTGGAGAAAGCCAAGGACGGAGCTACGAAATAAAAATTTAGTTGGGTCAGTGGAACATGATGGTGGTTCAGTTATGCTTTGGGGTCGATGGGAGCTAATGGAGTGGGCACCATTCAATTTATTGAAAGCAACATGACCAAGGACATTTATTGGAGTATATTGAAGTCTAATTCACGTGCAAGCATGGAAAAAATAAAGCTTCCGTCAGTGTTTTGGTTCCAGCAAGACAACGATCCAAAACATACAGCAATGATAGTGAAAGAATGGTTACTTTAAAACACTCCAAAACAGCTTAAGACTCCTCCTCAATCCCCCGATATGAACCCCATAGAACATTTATGGGGAGAACTGAAATCCAAGCTGAAAAAATACCAAAGAAGAACGTAAAAGGGAAATTATCAGAATATGGGGCGAAATATGACCTAATTTTACAAAAAAAAAACTAGTAGACTCGATGCCTCGGAGGATGCAACCTGTAATAGATGCAGCTGGTGTACCCACAACCTATTAAATAAAAAAATAAAAAATAAGTGAATAAAATTGTTATTTTCCATGAAGTGTACACTCAATTTTGTGACCTCAATTTATCAATAGTTTTAGTATTTTGTTTAAGTTTATCTTAATGCTAAATAAATTAAATAATTTAGCTTCAAATATAGTCGATAATAGTTCAAGCTTCAAATTTGCATCACAAAAATTCAAATTTATTCACTAAATTTTGCATAGTTTATGTATTTCTCTTACGAAAACCTGTGCATACTCATTTTTGTGAGTAATTGTATATATGTATATATATATTTTTTTTTGAAATTCCGCGTATTTGGTAGATATGTATATGTAAGAGCTTTGTGATTATAATTGATTAAACTTTTTTTCAAGAAATTATCGGTGTTACTCTCCTTTTCAAACATTTCCAGTAATCTAAATTTCTTAGACTCTTGGAAACTTGTATTGGTTAATTTCGGTTATTTTCATATCAACGGCTTTTTTGTAGTCAGGATTGTCGTTACCAAAATCCAACAATCTATCGTACTTATTGCACCATGTGTTGCGAAAACAGGAAGACGGACAGAGATATACTCGTATAAAAGGCTGAAAGCTACCATGCCCCGAATATACAGTTAAGCAGGATATAAATAATATTTTATTCTCTGAAAATATGTATATATGTATATACCTCTAATAGTTTTCTGAAAACTATTTTTATTGGCAATTATGTTCGGGGAGTCCACTTTGTGTTTGCCTGCATTATAATAACAACAGCAAATAATCCTTTGGAAGTACAAGCGAAACCTAAAACAATATTAATAATATGTTACACATCTATACTACACTCATAGTTATGTAAATGGTATTACCTTTTGTTCATCCAATAGTATATTATGGGATTGACCATGGCATTCGACATGGCCAGCCAGTAGAAACCCAAGTACATGTGCTGCACATATTTGGCGGATGTGATATCATTATTGTGGTATGCATATATGAAAAACATATGATAGGGCAACCAGCAAATAGCAAAAATTAAAACTATAGCAATAAACATTCGAACCACTTTTCGTTTCGATTTCATTGACTCCATCTGACGATCGATATTTTCTCCAATTGAACGGCTACCCCTAAAAAAATAGTAGGCGTTAGAAACCTTTGCACAAATTGCGATGCAATTTGTATATACCAGAGCACACGACCCATTAGTGTGTAACATATCAGCATGACAATCATTGGAATGCCATAAGTAAGTATGAGGATGATAATGTTGTAACTATATTTGAAGAAATTAGCTAATTAGTACACATAAATTATAATAAATGCATATATGCTTTACAATACATACGCATAATCTGACATCGACGTTGGATATCGGCCGTCTGGCCAGAGCATAAAGCAAACTGTTCTAGATTTGCCATTATAGTATCTAAAAAAAAAAAGTAAATTGGGTTCATTAGATTGTAAACTTTATGAGTTGCTAGTTATTCTAAAAATAGATATACCTTTTTGGTTTAAGTAAGACCTATTTATTTGTATGATTTGAATACTTTGTAATGTAAAACAAAAAAAAAAATACTACGGGCCGCAAAAACAATAATGAATATATAAGTTAAGCTCGTCACTTAATCCTCTTTACACATTTTTCAGTCAATTTACATCTGAAAGTATACAAACCCCGCTAATTGAATAATTCAATAATAGATTACATGACAGATATTTGCTCAGTGATAGAGTACTCGTCTGTTAAGTCAGGGCCCGATGGTTCGATCCCTGCCAGAAAAAGTCTGTTGAGGAGATATGGTGATCCCCGAAATAGCTGCAGTTCTACAATTTTTCTTCGCTGTATAACAAAATACTCAAATAGGCCTTCCGCTCATTAACTTATAACACAAAACTAATAGCACGGGAAACAATTACAAATAGCTTAATTAAGTAAAAGTTAGAGGCAACTGGTAACTCGACAAACTCTTTTCTTTCTTAATCGAATTTTTTATCTTCAAGATAAAATAAAATAACTTAAAATATTATATAATAAAACAAAACTAATATGATCCGACTTTGTTTGCAATTGGTGAACTGAAATTTTGTTAGCTTTTGATTTTGATATCGGAGTATTGCTAATCTACCAATATAATTAGAAAATAATCGAAATAAATTAAATACTAGATAAGTAAACTTGAGACTTCAAAGTGGTTGCCTCTGACGAACTTTACTTCAGTGGTCGCCTCTGACGAACTTTTATTCTCAAGCCTTTATTTATTTGCTGTTATTTGTTGGTGGCGGTAGCAACAAAGAAAAATCTCTTCATTTAAATTTATCAGCTGTTCGAAGACGTCTCAGAGAAAAATAAAGATCCTTTCATATGTTGGATGAACATAAAAACAATATCGGCACACAGACCATATTTGCTTGGTCCATTCCATAACCCAACAGATGGTATTATACTTATGCTGCAATTTTATAAGAACAAGTGCTCGTGTGTAAACGGGATTTGTTTCATTACATTTATGTGCGTAAAACCGAGCAACTAGATAGAGCGCTTAAGTGCATTTGACAATTGTTACTTCAATGAATTATGCAGCATATATATATAATAGCCATAGACGTACATACTCACTGTATCCAGTGAGAGAAAAAATAACTCTCAGAACGAGAGATGTGGTTTCTTTTCAATACCTATGCTACCTTGCTCAATAGGGAACCCTTATCTAGAAGTACATATCCGAGTATTAAAATTGTTAAAATTCATATTAATTTTTGAACTATAGGCGAATCCGCTAGCATATATGTCTTTCGATTTTCGGCCGATGTAATTACACCACAGATGTTCAACAAACGCAATGATATCATTCTGCTTCGCTAAAAAAAAAAATAACTCAACGAAATGAAATCGTTTCGTTTCAGCGCTATTATCAAAACGAAGTGAAATCGTTAACGTTAATTTTAAAAATGGGTACTCGCTACGATTCAAAAGCACTCTTCAATTTAGCGTTTAACATTATCTGTTAACAATTTAACATTAACGACAGCTTCTGGAAAGAATTTTATTTTGATAAGGTTAATTTTTCCAAACGTTTTAACCGAACAATAGAATTTCTTCGATTAACGATAGATTTATCGTTATGATGCTGCCTTGATTTACCCACATACATATGTACATATGTTATTGTTACGATTTTACTAAATCTACCTCGATTATTTTCTAAATCCTTCGGGTACGATCTCTGGATTGTTAAATAAAACTCGCCAACTTAATTTGCAGTTTCTTTCGTTATAAAGATTTTATCTAATGTCCTTTATTTACTCCGTAATTCACAATTCAATTACCATACACTTAATTATTTACAATCACTATCATCAACTTTCACAATTTACTCTACTTAAATTTAATCCCAACACGTTTACTTTACGACTTTACTGATGTTAACGCCAACGAGTTTACTTTATCACTAACTTGACTTGCAGCTGAGTGCCGCCTTTATATAGCAGTCGGCTGCTCGCAGACGAAAGCGTAGAAGCATCGAATTGTTCGCTATGGAAGGTTCTTGTTTTATCGTTTCTAGAACGTACTAGTTATCGGCTTCTCTCTTTCAT